AACCATCATTCACTGCTGTTCAATGTTGAGTGAATCGAAAATAACAATTATTTTCTTGACGAAAATATTTTTAGTTAATTAAATTAAGACTTTTCAACCGTCTATCTCAAAGAATCTAAATCATGGTAAACTAAAAAATTGACAATCAACATTCACTGCTGTACAATGTTAAGTGAATTGAAAATAACAACTATTTTTAGTTAATTAAACTTAGACTTTTCAAAAGTCTAACTCATAGTAAAATAGAAAATCGACGATCATCGTTTACTGCTATTCAATGTTAAGTGAATCGAAAATAACAATAATTTTCTTGATGAAAATATTTTTAGTAAATGAAAGTTAGACTTTTCAGAAGTTTATTTCAAAAAGTCTGAATCATAGTAAAACAAAAAATTGACAATCATCATTCACTGCTGTTCAATGTTAAGTGAATCGAAAATAACAATTATTTTCTTGATGAAAATATTTTTAGTTAATTAAGCTTCAACTATTCAAAAGTCTAATACAAAGAGTCTAAATCATAATAAAATAAAAAATCGACGATCATCGTTTACTTTTTTACATTTTTAGTTAATTAACCTTAGACTTTTCAAAAGTATATCTCAAAAAGTCTAACTCATAGTAAAATAGAAAATCGACGATCATCGTTTACTGCTATTAAATGTTAAGTGAATCAAATTAAAGAAAGATTATATTTAATATAATTATGGAGTCTGATTTGGAACAAAACTGAATTTGTAATCTCTTATTTCATAATCAGCAGTACTTATTCAATATTAATGTCGTGTTGGAATATGTTTAAGGCATGGGTTGTCATTAATTCGACTCCATAATTGCAACATTTCGTACATAACAATATTACTGTTGTGTAGGTTGCAATAATTTACACATCACACAACAACTTAATCTTTTGCGAATAATGCACGTTACAGGTATTCCACGCTGCGAAACTTGCAATTAACTGACGACGAGTATTTGCGTAATTGCTATCGATCCAAAGTGTTTCGCGTGATGCTTTGCACCGTTTAAACTTCGCTTTCTTCGAACGACAGTTGCTTTTATTTTTCTAACTAGAAAGAAGGAGAGTACTGCAGACGATGATATATCAGCAAAATATATAATCAGTTTCGATGGTATTTTTCTGCCAGCAAATCGACAAAGTGATTCCTTCCATAAATCATGGATCACAAGACTATGCTTTACGAGAAAACATTTACATAATGATTTCAATTTTTGGAAACAAATTATTTTTGTCGACAAAAGTTAGTTTGTCATTTTAAAAAATTAGTTTGATGTCGACCAAATGAAGAATTTGAAATAAAAAATTTAAACCCTATCATTAAAAATAAAGGTGGATTGGTAATTGTTTATCTGCTGCCGGAGTATTTAAATATTTGGAAAACAAATTTAAAAAGCAGTGCTGAAAATTGGAAAAGACTACCTAAAATGTTATTGCAACAATAATCCAGAGCATACGTCGCATATAACCAAAATGTGGTTACTATACAAATGTCCAAAAGTGATTAATAACCTTCCTAATCACCCAACCCAATTGCCATAAAACACATTTGGTATGAATGTAGACATTAGAAATCGAAAACCCATAATCCAGATCAACAACGATTTCAAAAGAATTTTTATCCAGAAATAACAAGATACTGAAGTCAATTTTACAGAAAAACTGTTGAATCGATATGAATAAGATTACGTATAATAAAATTAAAAATATAAAGTTTAGTCGCGTTAACAAACGTACCACCAAAGTACATCTACATATGCACGTCAAAAATTAAATCTTTTATTTGTTAAAAATTTTGTTTATATTCATAGTGGTTTTATTTGTTTTTAATTCGTATAATTTTTATTAAAAGAGGTGTCTAAATTGAAAATCGTATGATGGCGCTAGTAATCTGGCGGCGGCCATGTTTTCAACAACAGAAATTCGTATAATACGAATAAACTAGAGAGGCTACTTTTTGTAAGCTGTTAATAATTTGATTATTGAGTACAGTCAAAATACTTTAAGGAAGCAAACAATTTAGAATATTAATAAAATTAACAGAATTTAATTGGAAGACAACAGTAAATAAATGAATTGTATAATGCAGACTTCTATGGAAGAAAAAAAAACATTTGGATAGTGCATAAAAAGATACATGTATCGTGTAAAAAGAATATTTGTAGAAGATATGTTGAATGTTTCTTACATTCAGATAGGTTAGGTACAAATATATATTTATAAATACTCTTAAATTGTTTTATATCTGACAACAAAATTCTGCGTTCTTATAAAAATTTAAAATCTCTATAAGTACTTAATTTGATTCACCGAGTGAATGATAAAATGCTTACGAAAAGTAAAAATTTAATTACGTATTAAAATGTAAGGGATAAAACACTCACCAAATCGAGGTCTCATCTGCGATGAAAATATCTATCCTGGCTTTCTAGTCGCAAATTCATAACGCAGTCACTTGGTATGGCGCCTAAAATGACACATGAAAAGCACGTAAGCTCGCGAATCGATGTATATCGTTCATGCACCTTTATAGCCACTACTCTTTATGTCTGAAGCGTGAATCCCTACCACAGATTAACTTTACCAACGATACCATGTACGAGTCGACGAACTTTCTTTCAACTTGACGGTAAACACACAATGTTACACTCGCGATCGTGCGATCGAAATTTTGGTAGTCTCGAAATTTCAGTAAAAGTATTGGTACGTATTGTTCGTATCTGATGCCGACTAACCTCAAGGCATACGATTACTTTTCAGTCGCGTCTTCGTATAAAAATAGACGCGTTATGTTAATTGATATATCACTGCTGCGCTAACCGCGTCCGTTATAACCACTGTTTCACTGAAGTTTTGAAATTGCACTCTAAATTTTGATTTGTCTGCGCAGAAAGTGGTGGGGAGCGGTAATGGACGTCTCGCAGTGTTGCACCACGTGTCTGTTTGGAAAGTTCGCGGGATAAGGGGTGGCAGGCCACGTTGGTGTTACAGTTACCTGCCGCATTGACCATCCGCAGATAGCGTTATCAAACATTCACAAGGTATACGTGTTACATATGCGACTGGAGGACTAGCACTCTTCCTTGTATAGATTTGCTACCTACGCAAAACACTTGCTACGTTTCTTTTATTAGAAATGTTATTTTTTTCTTTTCGAAGTCACTGTGCAACGATCGCTAAAAAAGAGCTGCTCAAAATATATGTTGTCATATATATATATACATATATGTATATGCATACGTACATTTTGGTTATATAGATTAGCGAATCAATTACAAGTACCAAAAGGCATTCTAACTTTATACGAAAGAGGGTGAGCTTTATTACCTTCTCATGTAAATAATTCTGCTTGACTTGCAAAATATATTGTTTGTAGTTCCAATTACCGCGCAGTGCCATTTCAAATATGTGCTCATTAAACTGCTGTTGTTGGCACACTGTCGTTCCGGAAATTGGACAGTCAAATTGCAGTGATAATTCTGAAAATACGAAAACAGAATGTAATTAATAAATAAAGACTAAAGTAAAGAACCCCGCACAGATCTTATGGAAAATGGCCTCCGGTTAAATTAGCTGAACTTTTGATATGATGTAGTTCGTGATGTCTTGATGAAAAGTTCCAATGGGCCCAAGCTCGTAAATTGAACAGTTTCCGAGATACGGGGGAATCAAATGTCAATAATAGTGCGCCTTATTCTAGACTACCACGTTTGAGCATATTTGAGTGCAAGAAGCACTGTTGTGCCCCTGTCCATTTATTACACCCCTTAAAACTGAGTAGTTGTACTGTGGGCCCTTAAATATTACCCCTTGACCCCCTGACCCTCTGACTCCCATTCAGGAGTCAAAATAAAAAAACGCCAAAGAGGTATAAAATGGTTCTCTTTTTCATTGTACAAACATGAAGTACCGTCGACATTAGCATTACCCAGTGTGCAACACGAGGAAGTTGCTCGATCGGATTTTGCACACCATGTGGCCCTGAAGAGGGCCGTTTTTATAGTTCTCTCTATTCGACCATAAGAATCTCAACATTCATATTGTTTTGATAGTCTCTATTAGGGGCTATTTAGGGTCGTATTTAGAAGATTGCCATCCGAATATTTGGCATGCCTTTGATGACGAGCAAATCCTAAAAACCTCAAAACACTTGCAATATGTGCGCATGTACCCAATGTTTTGTCACCGGATTGACAGATACAGTAGTAACCATTTATTCCTCTTCTAGTTCCAGTTCATTTTTGGGAATTTGAGAAATAAGATCTTGATATTTGGTACGATTCCGAAATCGTGAATAAACTTTTAGTCTTCTAAGGCTGTGATCTACCAACGTAGTGTCAATCTGCGCTAATAGAGGGCATCAAGACAATATGAATGTTGAGATTGTTATGGACAAATAGAGAGAACTATAAAAACGGCCCTCTTCAGGGCCACATGGTGTGCAAAATCCGATCGAGCAATCTCCTCGTGGTGCACACTGGGTAATGCTAATGTCGATGGTGTTTCATATTTGTACAATGAAAAAAAAACCATTTTTTACCTTTTTGGGGTTTTTTTATTTTGACTCCGAAAGGGAGTCAGAGTGCTTCTTACACTCAAATATGCTCAAACGTGGTAGTCTAGAATAAGGCGCACTATTATTGACATTTGATCGCCCGTATCTTGGAGACTGTTCAATTTACAAGCTTGGGCCCATTGGAACTTTTCATCAAGACATCATGAACTACATCATATCAAAAGTTCAGCTAATTTAACCGGAGGCCATTTTCCATAATATCTGTGCGGGGTCCTTTACTGAAATTTAATATCTTATTAAATATCATATTCATTCTATTATAGTGCTAAATATGTTATGCATTCTGTATAGATAAATTTCTAATGTAGTGTTATATTTAACTTTACTTATATTTAAATTTACCGCTGCTTTCAATGTTACTTTCTGCTATCTTGGTTCATTTCTATGACCAGGTGTTGCAGCACCTCCGCCTAGTCATCAGTTAATCAACAAATATCATTGACCATTTTCGTTACGCATGAAGTTTACTTTTGCATTAACCAACATTGATTTATTTTAACATTTCGCCTATTATACTTTAAGGACAATGTCTTATCAATTATATCGAAACACGACATTAGGTAATACGTTACAAGAAAGTCTTGATGAACTGATCCAGGTATGCTTATATAAACTTATCCATTACCGAGGTTAGAACCTCCGATGAATACTAAATACAGTTATTATTAACTTAATATAATAATGCTGCTTTAAAATTTATTTAATTTTTTTTATGTATGATAAATATTAGCCGTATTAATAGTTAACATTATTACCGTGCATACTCGTAATTGTAAATACATCAAAACATTTCTACATAGTTGATCTTCAATGTCATCGAAATGTACGAAATAAAAAATATGTTAATCGTGATACAAATTTAAGCAATAGCTTAACCACAAATTAAATGCACAATGTATAAGTTTAATCTTAAATTATATAATAATACAATGTTGCAGTATGGACAAATTACGCCACAATTAGCAATTAAAGTATTATTACAATTCGATAAGGCAATAAATCAAGCGCTTGCAACCAGAGTTAAATCAAGACTTTCATTTAAGGTACACATCTCTAAATCTATGTATTTAATGATTATTTAAGTTTTATAAGTATTACGATTATCGTTTATATTAACTTTTTAGGCTGGTAAATTAAATACATATAGATTTTGTGACAATGTATGGACATTTATGCTAAATGATGTGGAATTTCGAGAAGTCCAGGAAGTTGCTGTAGTAGATAAAGTTAAAATTGTTGCATGCGATGGAAAAAGTAAGTATACCGCTAATTTATAAAATTGTTTGCAACATTTGAATCGCTCTGTCGAAAGCAATGTATAATTTTTAAAAAACGATTTATAATTTTTGTATTGTTGCAGCATTGGATGCTGACGCAACAACAAGGCGATAACATCACTATTTTCTCCAAGCAAATGTACCTATATTACATCACAGATAAGAAAATACTAGCCACATAAAAATTTCACAATAGACAGTAATACAAGTAAAATACATTGTACGTTTAATATAGGTATACAATTTTCATTTGCTTACCTATAACAGTTAAATCTTATCATCAAGTAACTGTAATTATGACACTATGTTGAAAGTAGGAGCATAAAGATTACTTGCTTTTTTATCATACCAGAAGCTAGCATTAGATTTATTTTTATATTGTATTTGGAAAATGAACAGACTTTATACATCATATTATGTCTACTATACAACTTATCTTCGGGAAATACAAAAATATGTTGTATGATATAATCTTCCTGTGGTCCAACGTGTTGTTCCAAAGATGTAAATAATTTTACGAACGAGACTGCAAGGTTTATTAAGATATCTGAATAAGTGATACTAAGTGGCATTAAGGATATACATGAACATAGTTCATTACAATGTACTTTGTACTATGAATATAAATCTTGAATATTAACAACAATTTCTTACTACTTATAATAATTTATTCATAAGTAAATAAAATAAGTTCATGGTAAGAAGTAATGTACCTATACTTGTTATCGTTAATATGATGGTTTGTCTGATATTTTTATTGTGTGGTGTAAAATTTAATAAATAAAGTACAAGTATATTTATAATGTATTGCCCGTCTAAAAAGAAACAGGGTACAATATTCATAACTGCCGATCCTGCAGAAAATATCGTAATGTATTTGCAAAAAAGCACCATAGATTCTGGTAATTTTGGGTTTAAAAATGAATATTTCGATATCCAATCGGATACATCGACCGTTCGATAAATGTCTGCCGGATGTCCAAAAAATAGAACATCCTTCCCTTCCCTTCTTTTTATTTGAACAATCTATAATAAAAATAAATTTTTAAAATAGCTTGAATATCATTAACTTTTATCTGAAAAATAAATGTATTATTGTGCTTTAAATACCTTAGTAACATTATCAAGAGAAGGCTTCAAGCAATGAGTATCATGAAATAAACATTCATGGCTTGCATAACAAAAGTTTTGTGATTGATTGATCATAATCCTAGCTGGAAGGCAAGAGTGTGGAGGTAAATGAAGAGGTGCAGCTTGTGGTCCCTCAATATATTCGAAGCACAAACTACCGCTAATCTCGCTATCCGAAGTACAACAGTTTATAACGCCATTAGTCTTTTGCCTGGCTGGAACTGACTCATCATATTCCTAAATTCATGCATAAATATTACAAATATACACTGATATGTAAACGTCTGAGATAAAAACAATTTTATTTTAATTTTTTCTAAAAACAATTAATGATACCGATTAAAAGAAACAAAATTATGTTACCTGAATAAATGATTGTTTAACACAATATCCAAGAGCAGGCTGATTTACTGTATTTAAGATGCAATCATACCAATCCTCACTATGTTTTATAGGACAGTCATTTATTTCATATATTATATCCTGTTCAAGAAGGCCTCCTGAACCTAATATAGGCGAATTCTATAAATATAAATTTTTATAATTCAAATGTCAACATTTGAAGTCAATTTTGTTATTAATATACATTTAAAAACTAAAATGATAGAACATAGAAAAAATTAATGCATCCTTCACTTACTGGTAAAATGGTTTTCACGTAAATACCATTACCAAGCGAATAAAAGGGTGCCCATAACCATGTAGAAAGCATAAGAACAGTTGCAGCCAATGTTGCGAGTACTATATTGTGCCAAATTCCTGCGCAAGTAACTCGTAATTGATTTTTTAATGGTAACGAACCAAGTTGTTCGCTACTTATATGTACATATGCTATAGGTATTGTGAAAGCAATCAGTATTCCTAAACCAAATAACTGGACATCTTCTCTTGCTGCAGCCAACGCATGTCCCAACTCATGCGTAATACTACAAATTGCTAATGTAATTACATAATACCCAATTTCATTAAAGGGCACATCTATTCCAGGTAACTGTAAAATGTAAAAACAAATGGCATATTATTATTAAATCCATTGAAAATTTATTGAATCGTTAATATTAAATATATATTGAACATGCAATTTATAATTTTTAAGGCTGCTTAGTCACATAAATATTTATACTATTAAAATATTTTAACACATATTTGCAACAAATAAATTTCTATACAAATTTAATTATCATTCTATAAAAATAAGCACTTAAAAATTATACTGAAACAAATTTACCATAGGTTCTAACAAAGGTTCAGAATTACTGTTATCAATGAATGGTCCGTTAGTCCATATATTGAATGTCATTTTTAAAACTGCAATTGTTGCTATAGGCAGAAGAATAATGCAAACAATAACTCCAGCATTGAACCAGGCGGTCCAAAATTTGGAACGATCCATTCCCCATTTTATTATTTTGCGATTAAATGCTGTTGTAAACCATTTTATTCTTAATACTTGAACTTCTAAACCAGTATTTTTTAAAAAGTAAAGATACGGATAATGTGAACATGTCTGAAATATAAATGTATTTTCTTAAATTATATTTTTTCTTTTCAAGACAGATTTTTATTTCAGATAACATTTACGATTATAAATTTATGTCTAAAACTACATCTGTTTTTAACGAATTATACCTTAAAAATTGTATCAAAGAAGAACAACGAACAATGAATGAGACCTATTGCAATTAGTATACTTAAAGCATCCATTTTCCGGGACTTTATTTTGATATTCTATGTAAACACTTTTCATATTACATTATATATCAATTATTCCTTTTACTATTTCTAAATGTCACGCAACTTAAACATTATCTGCGCTTTTAAGCACCGATGTAGAAACATACAACCGGCAGAGCTTTATTATTGCCGTGTGAGGAGAAAATCACCAGTGCCGTGAGTTGTGTAAGTCAAAAGTTTCCGACACTGGTGACTTTCCCCTGATGTGAGAAAAATTAAAATCATCTATGCTGTTGCGAGTCTAGCAACGATATGTATATTGTATGGCGCGAATATAAGCACGGAACAGCGGGACTTCGATATTTTATAAGCAACGAAATGTGAAAGGCTATTTATATTGTAATGATACTTATACGTATATTTCATTCAGTTTGTTTGTATAAAAATTAATAAATATTTATTCACTCTATGCATGACTACATTCAATATAGTACACAAACCAAGTTATATTTGTAAGATTAATGATATTTAAAACACCAGATAAACCTGTCATTGTCTGTAACAGGTATTTACAGAGCACTTTATTTTGATATTTTACATTTACATCAACCTTTTCCAGTAAGCATTGTATTTAGATGTACTGCTGCGATCAGTACCGGCCGTCAACTTATCGTCAATAATACATTCAGTCTTGGTTCTGTTATTTTTGCTATCCTCTCGACTGCAGACACACGTTTGACTTTCATTTATTTCTTTCGTTTTCATATGGAATGTATAACATTTAAATGTTTTAAAAACATTATAGCGGAAACCCAATGATAGGAATTCCACTTGTTATACCGAATACAGCTTCTACTAAATTCAATATTCTATTACCCAATTGTATACAATTTTGTGGCTTCTAAAAAGAATATTAAAGTTGAAGTAACTGAGTACATAAAAAGGGGTGATTACATGCAGAAGGATTAATTATATAGTATAATTAGCAGCAGTACAGATGTGTGACACCTGTGTAAAGGTTTCTAATTTACATCCAAAGTAAATAATACAGAAAAGTTGGTGTAAATCTTATAATCGCAGTTCTTTACTCGAATACCACACCCATTCTGCTATTAATTATATGTATATATATTAAAAGTTAAAATAATATAATAATTATAAATTACTATTGGAAAAACATTGTATAAACTTACAGAAATGTTAGTAGATAAAAATCGAATATTATATTTGTCACAAATTTTTGACGATTTATGGGCGTTCAATCCCACTGTTTTTGAAATTCCCTGGCAGTTTATTAAACATATAGCACCAAAATGTATGTAATGTTCATCTATTAGACATATGTTTGTCTCCACCTTAAATGTTAATTTAATTTTATATAAATAATTAATTTTTCCAGTTATAATTATTTAAACTGAATTATATGCTTACTTCAGATAAGGACTGCGTTGTCCAATCATTGACAAGTATAATATAATCTATGCTAAAATTGATTTTAAACCTTGTAATTTCACTAATAGATTCACATTTATGCACTGCAATATTCCACTTTTTTCCTTTTGCACATTGATGTAATGCTTCAGAAACTTTCTCACATAAATCTGCTGTTCCTATAATCTATATTAATTGTCAATATCATTAACAAAAAAAACAGTTTTCATTCTACATTTCAAACTTAAACATAATTTAAAAAAATTAAATCTACACTGTTCTTATTGAAATAACAAAAACGTATTGAAAATTTTATAGAATATTAGACTATTGTGGAATATAATATCATAGAGACAATATCACATAAATATGATTTAAGTAATACAAACACACCAAGAGGGAAGCTGAATAATCATATTTGGGTATTCTAAATTTAGTGAGAATATGCGCCATATTTTTTCTTTGGAAACATTACATTAAAAACATTCAATCCAGAAATGAATCACACAAACACATATAATCGTTTACTGAACAAACACTGAAGAAGGTTCATCGTCGGATTAAAATATAGGCAAACATTCACTTTCATCTTGCACGTAAAGAATGACAATTTTAATTTATATAGCTCGGTATTTTCATTTCTAAATTTTCTTCTGGTACAACTTCATGTTACTGTGTACGACTAAAGCAGGTACTGCCCTCCGTTGATTTGAAGTCCCGACCCGACTAGTCCCGAGACTCTCGCCAGTCCCGCCCGAATTCCGTGATTCCCGTGGCAGAAATGCGAGAAAAGTAGAAGGGATACACCTATTCCCACGTATCATTGAACTCTGGTTCGCGATTCGTCGCGGCAGTTACACACACACCTGAACTACCTGAGAGCAAGGGAGCAAGATAGATAGATGGGCGGTCCGACTCCTCTTTCTCTTTCTTGCCCCTGTGCGCAGTCCCGCGGGACTTCAAGTCAACGGACCACAGTACCTAACCTAACCCTTGAACCCAACATTGATATATGCTATACATACACATGCACACATGTTGAAATGTATGCAAAATTAACGTCTACATAGTATTCTATATTATTATACTTTCAATTTCTCTAACTATATATTCTAAATCGTATGGCAAATAAATTACAATAACTTTTACTATTTTGAAAATATAAAATTATTAATATTGACATTTTTCATTTAATAGAATTTGTCATTATTTGTTGTTCATTTAAAATGCATGTGTGCGTGTGTGTACACCCAATTGCATTGTTACTTTGATGTAAGAAACACCATGAATGTGTGTGACTATTCTACACATGTATATATACATATTATACGATACTATAGCATTATAACTATATGAAGTGTGCACCGGCTGGCATCAAACTTTTTACAGATCATCTACATTAAGAATTGCCTAATTGAATGTATCGTTTATATGTCAATAGTTTTTTATCTTGTAGCAGTGATTTATAAAAATAGAAGAAAATGTTTAAAAAGTACGTGCGTCAATATGTCTATACATGAACATAACCTTTATTTTTTAATAAATTTAAGTTTCATTATTTAATATTTGATTAGATTCGACGAGAAAGACAGTGTTTCTGGTGTACAACAATTGAAATCATCGGTACAGAAAGGAATTCGTTCAAAGCTCCTAGAACTTTATCCTCATTTGGAAAGTCACGTGGATGCCATAATCCCGAAAAAGGATTCTTTTCGAATTGTAAAGTGGTGAGACTTTTTAAAATGAACGTATTTAAAATTCGTCAATAAATGAATTTATTTTGTATTTAATTTTACGTGCCAGTCACGATCACATAGAAATCATAGTAAACGCTGCCGGAGATCTTTTATTTTTCCGTCAACGTGAAGGACCTTGGATGCCTACCTTAAGATTGTTACATAAATGTGAGTGATACATTTTATTATAAAACTTTGATAGAAAATATGTTGTACATTGTGTGTTGATAAATTAAAAAATTTCAGATCCATTTTTTTTACCAATGCAACAAGTTGATAAAGGTGCTATCCGGTTTGTTCTTAGCGGAGCAAACATTATGTGTCCAGGTTTAACTTCAAAAGGTGCAAAGATGACACCTGTACAAAAGGGAACAGTTGTTGTATCCTTTGTTAAAATAATTTGAATTCCATATATTCGTCGATTTAAATATTTGAGACTATAGTATTCATAACTTACAATATAGGCTGTTATGGCAGAGGGTAAGCAACATGCTTTAGCTGTTGGTACTACTACATTATCTACAGAAGATATGTAAGTAATATGAAATTAAATACATATAAAGTATCAAACAGTGCTAAGTGAATTATAATAATCTAATTTATAGAGCCAAAGTGAATAAAGGAGTGGGCATAGAAAATTGTCATTACTTGAACGATGGACTTTGGCAAATGAAACCTGTGAAGTAAAAGACTGATGTACATTGATGAAGATTTAATCGTGTACGAACATCTTGTTTGTTGTACAAATGCATTCTCTGACATTTAAAACTACATGTCATGCTGTGAAATGATGGTTCCAGTCATAGTATTGTTACTCAAAATAAAATATTAATAATGCATTTTTATTGTACAAACTGAATGAATGTATCAATTTTATTATAACTGTTTAAATGCATCCATATTATTCAAATGTAGTTCTACAGTTTACATAAAATCAAAGGAGTACTATAAATAGATGTAATTATAAAAAATAATTAACCAGATCCTGATTTTATATCTACTTGTCCTTCTTGATTTTCCGAAGAAACAGAACGTTCGTTTTCGCAATGTCCTGATGTCGGAGAATAAGATGGATTATTAGCATCAGATGTTGGTACAGAAACAGTGTTCGAACCGGGTACACTGTTATTAGTAGAATTATTTTCTCCAATGGCATGAGGAGATTGTGGATGATAATGAGGACTGTGTGGACTGTGCGGGCCGTGGGCATGAGGGCGACCCATGGTATGCGGCGAATACTGTGAATATGGTTGATGGTAATATGGATGTGCATATTGAGGATACGGTTGATGATATGGTTGCTGCTGAGAATAAGTATAAGATGGATGCGGAGGTCTTGGAGCTAATGGAACATTTTGAGCTTGTTGAGTTGGCCCTGGTTGATATTGTTGACTATAGCCTTGATTTGGTGGAATCATCTGAGGAGTATGTGGATTAGAAACTGGTCCTTGAGATGGAAGCACCTGAGTTCCCTGAGTTCCTTGTGTTCCTTGATGAGATGGCATTGAATGATTAGCTAACATTCCCTGCTGATGAGTATGTTGTATAGGAGGAGCTGGCGAAGTAACAGGAGGCATAGTTGGTGCATTTACAGTTGCGCTCGTATTTATATTCACAGCTGCAGCTGCTGTCGTAGTAATAGGTTGCGGTGGTTGTAAAGAAGGGGATTGTTGAGTTGGCTGTTGCGGATGCTGTTGATGTGATTGAGATGTCGGCGGTTGATGTTGAGTTGGCGGTGACTGCTGTTGTGGTTGTGGTTGTTGTGGTGGCGGTGGCGGAGGTTGCTGCTGCTGCTGTTGTTGCTGTTGCTGCGGCTGTTGTTGTTGTTGTTGCTGCTGTTGTTGTTGTTGCTGCTGCTGTTGTTGCTGTTGTTGTTGTTGTTGTTGCTGCTGCTGTTGCTGTTGCTGCTGCTGCTGCTGCTGCTGCTGCTGCTGTATCGGACTAACTGTCCCGCAATAAATTCCAGAATTGGATGTATGTTGATTAGAATTTCCTTGAACCGATGGAGGTTCAGGTTTATTTTCAGTGTATGGTGGAGAAGATGTTTCTTTCTTTATTTCAATATTAGGTTTCTCCGATCCATTTTGTTTCTTATCTACCACGTCATTATCAGGAACCTATAAAAAATGGTAACGAATAATTGCTACAATTAAAATGACATAAGCAATACCTACATCCGATGGAGTTTCGTCATTAACAGAAGCAGGAGTTGGAGTAGGTGTAGAATTTGGAGTTGATTCGCTTGATGCAGGTCCATCCGAACGACTTTCTTCCGTTCCTTTTAATCTATCTCGTCTAAGCGCTTCATATTGTCGTTCCACCATTTTATTAAATGTCTCTTCATCTACTGCAGGTTTACAGTGCTAAAAGAATTTCTTTTTTATATAGTTCAACATTCAGTTTAGTAAAAAAAATAAAAATTTACTTTTTTCAATTCTTCTTGAAATATTTCGCTTGTTTCAATAAATTTACGTTTTTTTGCTTCAAATTTTTCTTCTATTTGTTGGAGTTCAGCTTCAAGTTTTTTCTGTAAACATTTAAAAACGTCACATAACAACTACATTAATCGCATTACATTGTTCAATTAAAACTCATATTTATTCTAACATGTTGCATTACCTGATGCATTGTTAAAGACTGTACTTGGCGACGTAATACTTGCATTCTTTGTGTAGTAACAACAGACCGAACATCAGGAACTACAGTATCGCTAAAGATTTCATTAATAAGACGATGATTTCGTGTATATCGAGAATACGCCACATGTTTTACAGAATACCCATCGTCTTGATCTGTAAAATAAAAAATTCATATGTTATTTATTACTATTTACTCAAATTCTATGTGCATACCATCATCATCTTCCGCAGGTAAAATATCTATCCTTCTATCTTGAGCTGCTTGTCCTTTAGTACTGGTTGATGAACGTTCATGACTCTCTCGATCGTCACTACTTTGTTGTGCTGCACATAATGCTGTATTAACAAAGATTAAGCATCGTTGAATTCAAAATATAAATGCATATATTCATATATGTCTGTCTACTTTATTGATGTATAATATTTACCAGATTTTCCTCTATTTTTAGCTGCAATGTAAGCTAGGTATGCGGGAGAATTATGATAAGTTTTTAAACTTTTTTCATATTCAATCTGTTTGATATATGAACAGAATTAGTATTTATTTATTTGCATAATGTTATATAAAAATAATATGGGCATGTTATATACCTTTTCTGCCTCGTACTCTTCAATAAATTCTGTCTTGTCTTCTTCTGGTAAATCTCTCCACATTTGACCAATAATTTTTCCTATTTCCCACAGTTTTAATTCTGGGTTTTGGGCTTTTACTTGATCCCATACTTTTCTACTATATCTCATATAAGGCATAAGTGGTTTTTCTGGTGGTTTGGGTGGTTTAGGCATACGAGAATCAGCCTAATAGATTGATATAAAAATTTAGAGATACATTTAATTATTATTTATAGCTTAAAAAATAAAATACATACATTTGTATTTTTCCCCACTTTTTGTGGTGTAAACCCAGGATGACTATGCGGTGTTTGTATAAATGGACTTTGTGCATCTTTCTATAGATTATTATAAGAATTAATTTTGTATATTAAAAATAAACATACGTTTTCTTCATTAAGAATCTACTTACGCTATTAGTTGAACTATTACTACTACCACCAGAAGCTCTGAGGCGTTCTGAAATACAATTATTATTGTTTAAGAATATCTTTTGATAAAAAATATCTTTTAAGTAAAATCAGAAGCAATGAAAATAGGCAATGCTTACGATTAGATGCGACAATGTTTGATGTAGCAATTGCTACTTGCTTGTAGTTTGGAGGTAAAGCCATTTTGTATGCGAGAGCGAAAAAGTTTTATCTTCTTTGACTTGGAACGAACAAAATTAGTACTCTATAATTATTACTCGGTATTATTAAAAAATAATATCGTTTGTAACTAAAAGAGAATGAATATAATCGATTTGAAGAACCAACTATCTCTAAATACCGCTACTTTGCATATGGCCGTACGAGCGATGCTTCTTCAAGCATTTAAGATTTCACTGTAAAAGATATCATCTCCATTCTAGTTATAATTTAGAACTATATTTTTATATTCACTGTAACTTTGCTTTACTTTTTGGTTAAATGAGCTACAATATTGTTAAATTAATAGCATTTTTAATGACTTTTACAATTCACTTCGGCATTGTCACTTTATTGTGATGCACGTTATTGCCAACCTCTACAATCAATAAGTATAAGTTACTACATTTCTAGTGCGTCGGGATACAGTAAGATCTTTTTAGTAGTTTGCTGAACACATTGATGGTGAAGTAAACTTCAATATTTATTATACAAATGAAACATTAGCATATATAACGTGTAAAATATTTATTTACAAATGTTTACATATTATATAATTATTTATTCATATACAGATATTTATATAGAATATTTAACAATTACAATTTGGTAATCTTACCTTAATTTAGCCATCAGTGAAAAGCAATTTTTATTTGCATGTATGATGCATAAAGGTATTTGTTTTTCCTTTTATGTTTTATTACAAATATCAATGATTAGAATAGATATTAATTTCAAAATAAAAATAATACACCATTCATCTTCGAATTTATGTGCTGTCTCCATTTTCTTAGATATTTAATGTTTAACTTTGATTCGTTTTATGCGTGTAATATGTAAAGGCACAAAAAATATACGAAGTTTTAGTAACGAGTTTTACATTACAGGCAAACTATGCCTGTTTAAAATTTAGTACGTTTTTATACTTAAATGGCAGTCAGAATATTGGCGTTAATCATCTCGCTCCAAAAATAAATTGGGGTAGAATCTTAAGGCTTCGATTGTATCATCCCTACACGCTTTCCCATTCTTTTCTGTAACTAGTAATCTTTCACGTGCTAGTAGAACAGATATACCTTCCGATTGTGCAAGTTCTTCTGCCGTTAGAGATCCTTTTTCATTTATCTGTAATACAGAGAATAAAGAAAATTCTACACGAAAATGTTTATATTAAAATGCTTACCAGTTCAGCTATAAGATCAACAATGGCATTATCATCATGAGATCGAATTTGGAGAACCATAACCCCACTGTCAAAAATTCTCAATACTATAGGTAAATTTAAAGGCGCTAATTGCCTACTTGCGTTCAACAAGTCTTCTGGTGACAGAAGTTCCATACCTCTAGCTCTATTTACACGACAATAAACATCCGTTAACGTCATCATTCCCCCAACATCCTACAAAATGAAGTTTGCTAAGAATCGTATATAATTTTGATTTGCTATTAATTATTAAGTATATTAACTTTAATAGGTTCATCTAAAATATCTGCAAGTTGCTTTGCCAATTGCTTGAAATATTCATTACTAGTCTTGTATGCATCTCGTGTTACAGGGTCGTCAATGCCGAGGCTCAGTAAGTAAGACTTAAATGTGACTGTCTCATCCTCCGAGATGTTTCCTTGCCTCTCCTGCAATGGTCTTTGATTATGAATGTCAATTTTACAAACTAACTGTTAAGAGTCACCCGTATTTTTGCTGAGATGGTTTTTGAAATGGAAACCATGTCTTTGGCCATTTCCATAAGCTTTTTGAGATCTTGAAATGCCTTTGATATACTTTCATCTGTTGCTTTCTGTTGTTCCTGGAGACTTCTTTCTATGCCTATAATACCAGTTCTTGTTTTTATTCGTGGAGGTGGCTTAACATTGCCACTTCTATTTTGCACATTAGAATCAAACTGATTTACAGACATAATAGGTGTTATTTCCCAAGTCCGTCTCATAATAGTATCAGATAAGTGTATGATAAAATTTGGATCTAAACCTTCTTTAAATGATAATTTGACATAGTTGTATATGCTATTATCTAACGGACCAGGCATTTTATCTGCAAGGATAAAATATTGCATAAAAATGATGAATCTTGCTATTTCCATTATTAAATATTTGCTTTGTATAACCAAAAAGTACCAGATATAGCTTCAGAGAGATGCATAATAACTTTTTTGCTACGCCCAAAGGAAAATGGACCAGAAGCTTCTTCTTCAAAAAAGATAACATGATGAAGGGATAGTGAAAGACATGTATTACCACGAGATATATCACCAGGTCTTCCCCAAAGGACTCTATGGCTTGTAAGAATTAATTCACCCCCTTCGAAGTTTGTCTGTCAACAAGTTAGAGGTTATTTTACGTTCTCTTTAAATAGTATAATTAATTACCTATACCTTATTGTCGCCATCATATAAATGTACGCCAATATCGCGTCTTATATAAGATTCATTTGGAAAAAGTCGAGATCCAATGTATTCGAATCTATTCATCGTTCTTGAAGGTTATGGCAAAAACTAGTATGGTTCTTGTAGCAACACTTGCAAAATAATTTTCGCAAATTTTGAGTGAGTCTACCATCAATTCGAACGTGTCTTAACTATGAGACGTCCTTCAATTTCTGTACGATTTATCCCTGCCTCAATATTTATGCATAATACGTTTTACCTTCGCTTAAATTCCGTTTTTTAATAGTACGAACTAACCAAAAGAGCTCGAAGTACCATTTTGCGGTACGAATGGTACGATATTACAGTTATGTACTCACGAAATTGAACATACGCCCATGTTGGCAATAATGATTGGCGGGAAAATAAACAAACATAGACATTATCAAAAGTAAAAACATAATATGTACTTTGTTTGGATATTAAATATTTAACTGTTAAAATATCCAACAAAATATATATAATGTGTTTTTACTTCTAAAAATGTCCGTTTTTGTTTATTTTCTCGCCAATCATCATTGCCAACTTGGGTGTACGCTCAATTTTGTAAGTAAATGTATCTAATACAGAAGTCACTTATTATATTTTTTTTTACTTCTGTAACTGTAATTTGTATTATGATCGCAATTATAAAACACGAAAATTTGGCTTAAAAGAAAAAATTTTTATAAAATCGTGTTAATACTATGGAATTTTTAAGTTACTAGCATGTTTTTAAGAATATAAAAAGTATCATTGCATTTTAGCTATGCAGGTATTTGAATTTAAATAATATCCACCGATTGATTTTTTAAATATTTTCCAATCGTAGGGTTTAGGGGTATTTCAATTACGAAGTGGAATACATTGGTTCTTACTTCAAATATATTTGTTTCGAATTTATTCAGTAAACGAATTGTGTAAATAGAACCGCAACCATGAGTAACAATGATAATGTATAGTTAATAGTACGTGATTCTCTGTGTATTTATTACACGTTTGTATAGTGAATAACGTCCTCATTTGTAATATATTTTTTTTTTCACAGTATTAATATAAGGTTGTTTTTTTTTTGGTTTAGTTTATAATTAGTACAATACAATGTAATGTGTAACGATACACCTTATACCTTTCACAAGCATAAGCTCGAACGTACCTTATCTTAAGGGATATGTTACTATTGCTAAAATCAATATTTAAATCTAGACAAACTTCCCACGTAGTTCTTCCATTCAATAAATCTATACTTTTAAATAGACATGTAACATCGAGATCATAAAACTGAGGAATAAAAGTACATACACGGTGAATCGAACTATTTAATGGTATATAGATAATTCACTCTTACAGTTCTTTTAGAAAAAAGTAGTTATTAGACTGAATCAATTAAAACTGCTATTAGAAACAGCATTTCGTTTTCTTTTGTTTCAGGCAAATGCTACAAATTTTATTGTTTTATTACCGAACAAAAATAAAATTGCAAAGTTTTTAGAATATTGTTGAAAAATCAAATTTCTCGTATCCATATGTTACATACGACATATAAATTCGTTTAACGTTTTTAATAATTTTTTTTTGTTACAATAAAATTATTAGTTAAGTTTGAAATATTTTATATTTTAAGGTGTTTGTTAGCTGTTAGATAAATTCTTATTAATATTTCAACATAGTTGTTTTAAACGACTCAGTCTGCATGGTATTGTAATCTATAATCGCTTTAACAATTCCCTTAAGTCTGCTAAGTACATACAGTAGTGTTTGCAACTTGTGAGTACTTTGCGATCGTTTGAATCTCCTCGATTTGATTCTTCTTACTACTTGATGGTACGCACGAGCATAATTCGAAATGTAATTAGAAAGGGCTTGGCAAGGATTGTTCTTCAAAAAGTTTCACCTTAATCAATAAGATACAAAGATTAATGCATATACAGGGTGAGGTGAATGTGCCCTTATTATATCACAGAGAGGCGTAACAAAAATATAAAACAATTTAAACTTTATAGTACTTTTGTATGAATCGTACACTCATGCAATGGCTACGCGCTGCGATTCGTCCCACAATGTTCGTCGCAATTACAAATCATAAGGTGTAGTAATTGTACGAATCGAATTTTGTAATTAATAACTAACGAATTATTTTAGGTATGACTATTACGTTACAGCAAAAAATTATACCAGTACAATAAAATAAATAAAAACTTACGCTATACTTCGTTTTAATTAATTTATAGATAATCCTTGGAAATTACGAGTAACGTTTAAGGAGGTCTCACAAAGTAAAATTGGTAGATAGAAGCTCAAGGCTTTCTCTCGGAAAATTTTGCTTACAATAAACCTTTATGTTCTCCACTTTTTGGAACAATAACTGTTTTTACACTAGTCTAACGCTCTGCTGCTTGTTATTCTAAATCACGAACACAATTATACGATTTTGAAATTATACTTTCCATCGTTATTCCTCGCAGCAATTCAATAAATGCTCCTATTTTTTACCTGCAACTTAGCGATAAAAAATCTAAATTATTTACATATTTACTTTATGTAACAAGTTGTAGAATGATATTCGATTTAAAAGAAATATCTTCATCCACCGATTTTTCTTCTCCACGAGATCCTCGACCTTCTTCTAAGCCTTTAGCTTTGCAAACACGTGCAATTATGTATTAACGTAGAATGTACAATGCCATTTTAGAGTATTACTTGTAGCAATTAACCAGTAAATACCATAATTAAGCAACGAGATCGATAAAGCGTATGAATTCAGAACGAATTTTAACTATGGTACGCAAACACCAGCGTATTGTTAGGTACTATCAGGAGTTATCATATCTGTTGTTTGTGGTACGAATCGCTTAGCATTATTATTGTCATCATCATTCTTTTTTCCTTTTTTTTTGTTCTCCTTTATTCTCTTTCTTACTATCATTCGCGCTATCTATCTCTCTCATCCTGTCTGCCATTTCGATCCTGTCTCTCTGACCCATTTTCTCTTTCTTGCTCGCACACAAACGCGCTCACATACGCATACATACACGCACACACTCCCACACACACATTCTCTCATTCTCTCCTTCTCGCTCCTTTCTCTCCCCTATATATAGCTAGCCTTTGACAAAACTAAATTCTGGTAAACGAGAAGCAAGCTATTGAACGTCATCAATATTGTTCTCTCCCTGTCTTCATTCTGCGCCATATGTAATATATTCCAGTTTAACAGTTAAACTTAGTATGTATCGTAACATGTACGTACACAGGCACAAACGTACGCACACGCACACATACGCGAGTAGACGTGCGTGTGCGCGAATGTGTGCACGCGTGCGGGCCACGTAGGTATTAAGAATAAAAGATTAGTTTTGTGCTGATGTACAACAGTGTTAAATGATAATTCGACTTACATGTATACAGATTATACATACGTACTACGTACGGTTTCGTGTGTACAAAGTGGTACGCGAAAATGCCTTGATCAATCGCGTTTCGTCGCTTGAGCTTAGGCGCACGAAAAATAGCAATTTACATTTATGCCCTTGTAAATTTCCTTTTCTGCAATTTTTCTTCTCATAAAGAAGTACGTATGGATCTGTTTGACTTTAATGTTTGTAACAAAAATTGCATACCAAACATATTGTAGGGAGAAAGAAAGATCTCTGACAGGAGTTGCTAGCCGTATTGGGTCAGGCGTTGCAGCAGGGAACATCACCCATTTGATAATCTGATCATTTATGAAATATATCAAATTTATTCATTGATTAATATTCAGTATTTAAACAATTTAATTAAACAAGTATTTCAAGGGCAGTTTTCACTCCTCGAACACAAATATTTAAAAATAAAAAAGAATACGAGTTTAATAAAAATCGAAGATTGTCAATTGATCGATGGTCCTTACGAATAAAAATTATCCGACACTGTCTGCAATATTCGTTGTCTTGAATTGATTTTTCTTTCTCCCTGCAATACATCATATTTATCAAGGATAGGCAAGAACTCATCTAGACACAAGGCTTTTAATAACGAACAAAAGATGAACAACTTTTGATTCGTTATTTTTCCAACGTGAATTACAATCTGAATTATGCAAATGAACTGCTATACAAAATTTTTATTCGTCATCTGTTATTCAAATAAATAAATTCTAGACGACACGACTCACGCGAAAAACTTCGAAATGAATTAATTGCGTGAGTCGAGGACTTATTGTACTTAAATAAGTGTTGATCGATGACAATATACTACAGAGGGAAATGACTCAACCGATTGAGTGTTCTAAATGTTGGAATTTGTTTTTTTGTCGTCGGTGGCTCACAACTAGAGTCGAGCTAATTTTATTACCTAATTAGGAATGCAAATTTTAGTTTCGTTCGTAAATTCATTCATAAATTACAATCCGTTAACGCGTGCTTTTAAATCGACGTTCAAACAAGGGAAGCCGTGGCTAAAAGCTAGTTTACGAACGAATCTAACATTTTTATTCGTTATTCGGGAATAAAAATCACTCAACTTTGTTCGTAACTCGTTTGAAACTGCAAATTCCTGGCTAAATGATCACAGTACAATCGCAACAAAAACAAGTGGATGCTCGATACCACTTTTTCCGACCTAAACATCAACATTTTGCGCTGTTTCAGTCTCCTTGTTTGCAAAATAGGGAACATTTCGCGCGAAGGCACGAGACATACTGTGGTGGAATAGTCAAACGGCGTGGGTGGGGATGAAGTTTCAGCAGTATTGAGCGGTCTGTTGATTTCTTTTTACCCTTGTCGATAACAGAAAGAACGATTTCTACCAATTGGATCTATTTGGGTCGTCGGTGGATTCCTTCTTCTTAAGTTTTAACATTCGAAAAACGATCGTCGGTTAATCTATAAAATCTACCTCTCGTTACGAACAAACTCGTGTTCGTCGTAACAAGGATAAAGTTACATTAGCATTTACACACCTTTCTCCTCGATGAAAGATCGACGTTGACACTGTTGTAATTTACAAAATCGTTCGCGGTTCTGATCCATCGTACGAAAAACGGTTAATCACGATCGTTCTCACGGATCACTTTGTACGAAACGATGCAGAGATACATATCGTCCACGATCGATAATTTACGAATATATTTATGGAGTTAATGAGAATTCAGCGATATTAGTCCCATAGTAAGTTGGCGATAGAAAAAACCTGAATAAGTTCATAAGTATGGATTGAAATAGTCGGCATTTATGACAAAAAATGTATAGTATAGAGTGTAAAATTTTCTCGTAATCGTATCTATAATGTATAGATGTATATGTATGCATATATACACGTGTACGTGTGTGGATGCGAGTGTGTGCGCGTTCGTGTACATGTCTGCGTGTATACGAAGGATTAATTTGTTAAGTTTTATCGTGTACGAAGAGGTACAAAATTTACAGGTATAGAATAGGCTATGAGGTCCGAAAGGCTATCTAATTCGTTCGATTTGCATCTGACGATCCCGTTGGTCGTAAATAACACGAGGTTTTCCACTTTCCGACGCGGCTACGAACTTATCAATATTACGATTTCGGTGTTCAAAAAGAACACAAAACAGTAGGAATTAGCACAGATGACACAGAAATTAGGGATTCCGTATTCTTGTAAAATTTTGTCAGTATGTTATCGAGCGAATAATTGTCGTTCGATGTTTTTGATTTTCCATTTTTTCCATATAATTCCAAAGTAGTTCCATTGTATATTTAATTGCCAATAATATTATTCCCAGTAGCAGCATCGTAACCTCGAACGTCCAATGGAATCGTGACGGAGCAAATTTTAGGATCAAGTCGACGCATGAATTTCAGTGTTAAATTCTACCTCTCAATACAAACAATCAACAGTCGTTTTGCATCGACCCTGCATTGTTTAAAGATTGTATAATTCGGCCGAGCGTCAAGTACTGTCACGAGGAGGGGGAAGGAGGAGGAAGAAAAAACCGACGAAGTCGGTTTTGAAAAGGGGGACGAAACGATAGAAAAAGGGGGGCAAAAGTCGTGGCGACGAGGAAGAAGAAGAAACGTTTTGAAAGCGAAAGAATGATCGTCAGCCGTTAGGAGAGAGAAGAACGCAATCGAGGATCGAGGATCGATCTTCCACGTTTCGAAGAGAATGCTCTGCGCGTCGAGTACGTCGTTAATAAACTCTGTACAAACATTAACAGTCCATTGGGAACAACAACGTTTACATTTCGATAAAACCCTGAATCAGAGCCACTATCGTTCATAAATTCTTCGACATCGCAACGTGTCCAATAATAGCGACGAATCGTCGAAACGTTTTTTAGTTTTCTCCTTTCTTCTTCCGTGACGTGGGGCTCGTGGTTCGCGAAACAACGAGCGAGATTCAATTTTATACGCCAGCGATCGGAGAACGAAAATCGTAAGACAAGCGAATCGCGAGATACTTGACGATTAATCACGAAACAATGATGGTTGAATCGTTAAATAAGTTCATCTCTTTGTAAAAGGAATAACCACTTAATTGATACGTCTTATGCGGTTTAGCTTATTGTTAGATTAACGCGATACACACAAAATGCTTCAATGAAATTTCTGTACACGCAAGGAAGGTTCGATTAAGATTTGCGTTTCAAAATTCGTGCACGTTTCCGGCGAACGAGAACAAGTCTAAACGAAATCGTCGTTCGATCTTGCTAATTTATATCGGTGCGCTTGATTCTCTTCGATTTATCATTTTTTTTTTTTTTCTTCTTTTTGTTTCGCGCTCAAGTCATCTGATTCGCCAACAAACGAACGAAACGAATGGGGGACAGAATACTATCTTTCTTGGCCTTGACGTTTGTCGACCGTATATAAAATATTAATATACATATTTGAGCCTCGTACAGGGTATCTTATAGTCGTCGCAAAGTTCGTTCGAACCTTCCCCGTGGAGGGACGCACGATGCGAACGACGATGCAGATCCATTTAGAGCCTATAACGATTTGTGCCTGACGATGATTTTTGATATCGATACATCAGTCTGAAATGATTGATACGTGCTCCGTGTTTCACGCGCGTTTAGCCTGTTATTTCCATATTCCCGTTGCACCGAACGCGAAGGTGTAATCGCTCCTCGTAATTTGTTAAAGCAAATGCACCATTTCGACCACGGAGCCGTCGTTTTGAATCTTACAGTAGGTGACACAACATATCATGCATTTCCATTTAGTACGTGTACAACAGGATACGAGATCGACATTGAAATTTATACCACCTAGTCGGAAACGGTGGATCGTAGACTGTTGGATTATCTTGTTCTACCTTCAACGTGCGATGTTTATGTACCGCGCGTTCAAGTACTTCCTCTGTTACAGTATAGAGGAGAACGGTTTAATGTCGGAGTCACGGAGGAATAGTCACGAGGGTAATTGTTACGTTAATAGAAAAATCTTTTGAGTTCGCTTGAGGCCTTAAACGTGTCAGCACCCTGTAATTTATAAGTTTGCAATGTGTTTTAACGAAACAAATACGATTGTTTCTTTCATAATAGTTATCGAACGCAATGACTACAGCTTCATGCTTTCATTGTGTCACGAAAACGGATCGTAAGATCAGACATTACCGTTCTCCATATCTGCGACGAAATTATACGACACTTATGATTTTACATATCATAAATTATTCAAAGCCTTTTCTTAAACGCCGATCGATAAAACTAAGATCTCTAAAAATAAGATTACAAACACGTATATTTCAATCCTACCAACGTTAGGAACTCCGAAACGAAAGAGATTTTCTGATTTAGAATTTTGTAAGATGAACGATGCGAGAAAACTACGAGACGGAAAATATATTTTTGGAAAAATTACGCGAAAGTAATTTGCGAGAAAATTAAGTTTGTTTTATTAACAACGCGCAGTAACCTGTATGTCTAATGATTTCAGTCATGCTTTTTGATGATTATTTGTATAAATATTTAATAGTTCTCTAGTTCAAGAATTTCCATTTTTCTTACTCTCAGTGTGAATTTTGAACGATAACATTCTCTAATAGGTTTATGTAGTCCTAATATCAGGAGACCATGATAGTATCTTTGTTTCTTTGCCAAAGAAAACTTGTAAATTTTTTTTGAGATTCTTAGATTTCATTACTGGAAATGAGTAAGACCATTATGGACGAGCTGAAAAAATCCCTGAAACAGAATGTTTCACAATTTTACTAGGTGCCTTATAGTTTCGTCGCAGAGTGTACTTGGAATCGTTACAGATTTTCGATCTTATGTTGCATCCTTCGTGTTCGCTTCACTTCCTGAGCGGATGCCACATGGGGACAGGATGCCTGAAAGCAGCTAACATTTGCTTCCAATGGTGAAGTGCTCTTCCGGTCGACGTGGGTCCGACGACGATGTATCCGACGGAGATCGGTTTCATGCCTTGTTCGCTATTAATTTCTGCTACTTTCAATCTCAATTGTATACTCTGAAAACAGGAAAGCATATCGAAACGTGATTCGTGATATAATGTTTCGTTTTACGAAGATCGTGTAACGTTCAAGCGACAGAGAAAAATAATTCGAACCTCCAGAATGTGAGTGGGCACATTGAAAATAATGAACTCGTTGAAAATCGGATTATTCTCTCCTTTCTTTATAGATGTCCTCTTCTTGTGCACTTTTTCTCCTTGCTGAAGTAAGTACACCTTTGTAACATAATAAACATTTAATATATTTACAACAGTCTGTATCGTTTCTTAAATTAGATAACGTCAATAATTAAGTGAAATTAATACAATGTCGTTTATCGTATGCATTTTCAACGTTAGTACGATATTATGATAGTTGGTCGATTTTCATGTTCGGATGTGCAACACAGTAAAATATAATTTTGAGGCGTTTGATGTCGTATTAAGACCACGAGCAGTTAGTACATTTACCACCCAGAAGGTAATATATTTTACTATTTTATACATTTATGACATAATATGATAATTTTGTAACATGCTAATGAAAATATATGTGGATTAAATAATGAGATTATGTGGTACGTGGTGAAAATTCTGTAGTCGTATTGCAACGACGATGAAAATGAGAATTTGATACCAAATTTTGTCCGGTTTTTTACAAAAAAATTTTAATCGTTCAACCGGTTGGATGACCGAATTTGGTAGGCAAGACATACTACATATTTTTCTCAGAAAACAAACAATAAGAATAGAAGTGAATATTGAAAAATTCATTGCACGTATGCTATAAGAAAAGTCGTGAAGATAAATGGCACTAAAATAACATTTTATGTTAAAAATTCTAACCGATATTTTAAAAACGTTGATTCAGTGTTAAGACAATATTACCCTACAATTTGTATGCTGATATTTCAAGGACGTACCTTAACAAAAAAGTCCCCGGGCACGCTACTAGCTCCGCGTAAATTCTTAGCTTTTACAACAACTAAAGTGAGTCTTTCCGCTGTTGGCGAGTAGCTCAGAGAGAACATCAACTCCCCTAATCGTGGCGACGGCATATACGATCCTGCGAGTTGCAACCAGGTCGTTGTTGTGCCCGTACCCCTTGGCGGAGGTTCGAGCGGTAACGTAGATTCTCCAATAAGAGTCTCGTCGCCACCTATACTGGTCTCGTCGGAAAAAACCTTTGGGATTCGATGTACACATTGTTACAATCGATCATCGAGAATTGGATTTATTTTATTAGACGGTTTCGTCAAGACCTACTTCGATAAGAAGCGTTCTACCCGTGGGACCACCGTGAAGGCCGAACAAGAATTTCTCCTGATAACAGGGCGACGAAGTTCCTCTGTAAGTCCTAGTTTTCCAGGAGGATTGTCTGTCGGGTAACAGACATACCCTGAAAGAGTAATAGTTCCTCATTAATTTACGTTCAAGATTCCGTTTCGATTAGATAAGGGAATCAAACCTGGCGAAAGTGTCCCTCGCGGGTTGACCGTCTGGCGTCACGAGATCCTTGGCTTCGCGAACACTGACCACGAGATCGCCCTCGTTGTCGAATCCTCGGCCGCTCAATCTATCGTACTCAACTGTGACGCAGACGTATCCGGCGATAGGTCTCTCTTCGAGGTCGTTAAGAACTACGCTAGTCTCCGAGCACACGCTCTCGCAGCTTATGGCCCTCTTCATGACCGATTCGTCCGGTGGAGGCTCTGGTTCCGGACCCTGGGGCCCACGACGACTACCGCGACTGATTTCATTAAGATCGTTCAATGTGTAATTCACCTTGAAAGCGTCCTCCCAGTTCTACGGATTACCATTGCGTTCAACGATTATATTTTACAACGTACTCTACGGATTCGTTACCGTTAACGCGGCTACAAAACGGACGAAAGAATAGCACCGCACCTGAGACGATTTTCGCAACAACAGCTCTTCCTGCGCGGCGTAAAATTCTTGGCTATTTTGTTTTCTGTAAAACGAGTTGATCGATTAATGTATTAGTGTTTTTCCTAACGGACAAGATCAACAGAATCGATGCATACTGGAAACTTAACGAGTCAGCTTCATCCAACTCGTTGAGTTCGCTGAGAATACCGTTCTGCCTTTCCATACTTTTCCTCCTCTGCTCGATACTATTCAGAATGTCCTGGAATCAGTTCTCGTTAGATCGTAATTAACGTGCGTAATCTATTTAATTATAGAGTCCCCGTACCTCTGAGGTTCTCGTGAAACTAGGATCGGACTCGTAGCTGCATATCTCTTGATCGTGATCCTTAAGCAGCAGCGGCGAAGAGGGGGGATTTTGTAAACTATTGTACACCTGTTGAAACGACGTAGCACGATAAGGTAACGCGTTCGAACAATACCCTAGTGACCATTTAAATTAAACGTGTGTGTCCGTACTTCTTGAGCTGTTCGGTGAGCCTCCAAATTAAGCTCGGGACTGTATAGATCCAAGCTACGCCTGGAACCGTCGGGACCTATTACGTCGGCGTCATGTTCCGTATAAATATCCTGGACTTCGTCCTGCAACTGATTGCTGATGCTGTCCTCCACCAGCGACGGTGATCTCGACGGAAACGTGAAACATTGGACTTGCTCCGGCGCGGAGAGGACTGAGCTACGGTTATCGTAAGCAACAGACAACCGTTAAATCATTTTCCATGTGCTCCGTCGTTACGGAGAATCGAAGTAACCTACTTGTAAAATTTCGACGCGTCGATGTAACTTTGCGATGTGACCAATCTGAACGCGTTAAATATTTTCTCCCCGGTGGTCGGACCGTTCTTTTTTGGCACGTCTTTCGGCGGGTCGGGCGGCGCGGGTGGCGGCGGTACCGGGCTGGAGGCCGATTCGCTGTTGAATTTCAGCCCATCGATCGACTCTGGAATCGTGTCGTCGTACAACACGTGCTCTTGATCTTGCTGTCGCGCGAGCTCATTCATCGAATCGTAAATAGGAAGATCGGGCAGGCTCTGAATGTATTGGGAGACCTTCTGCAGGCCCTGCGACTCGCGAAACAAATAGGACGAGCCGATGTCGTCCTGAAGAACGTTGGAACTCCTGAAGGGCGTCATCTCGATGCTCTGCAACTCGTTGCTCTTGTGATCGAGGTTGTTGCCGAGATTCTGAGTGCTCTGGAGCATCTTGGACAGCGCCTCGTGCCCGTATATCGATTCCATGATGGTCTGGCTGGCGGCATTCGAAGAATTCGTCATTCCGAAACTGCTCTGCGTGACTCTCGAATCATTCCTGACATGCTGGCGTATCATGTGACTCCTTTGCACGATGTCGTAGCTACCGTAGCTCGTGTTACTCTCCTCGTCCCCTTTACCGTCCAAGGTAGCTATAGGAGCACCGTCCACCCCGTATCTGATCCTAGTCGACTCCATGTTGGCATCGAATTGTCTGTATGGATTGCACCTGGCGTCTTTCCTTCGCTCCTCCTCGAGGTCGTATCTCAGCCTCGAGTCCACGTGATTCTGCGCGCCGTACGGAGTCATCTGAATGCTCTCTGTCACGGATTTCGTGGTATCGTCCTCGAATCCAAACGGCGAAACGTGATCGTTCGATGTTTTGTACAGCCCGTAGTTCTTTGGTTTCGCTTGGAAATGAAAAAACGAGGGTCCGGTCGACCTCGAGGGAATCGACCCTTGTAACGACGGCGGCGGAGTTAATGGGCCCGGACCAGTCTCCTGCATTCTCAGGTAGTTTACGGTGTTCGTGGTCTGAAGGGGCGGAGGCCTTGGACGAGCCGTTGATTTTGGCGGAGGCGCTGGATTTGGTTGAGGTATTGGATTCGGTTGAGGCGCTGGCCTCAACGGTTGTGGAGGGATCGTGCTTCCGGTAGCGCCCAGAGGCGGATGTAGATCTCTGTCCACTGGCTCGAATCTGCAAATATCCAAGGATTCGCGCTGTAGAAGGATTTTATTGCTCTTGGCTTTTCCTCTTCTCGGTAATCGTAAGATCGTTGTTTCGAATATGTTTTCTATCTATTTTATTCGTGACCAAATTACTGGTCTTTGTTGTAGATTATTTACTCTTTGCAAAGCGAAGAAAATGTTTATACATATAATTCGTATGATGTTTTCAATTGAATCCTTTAATCACGTATGATGAATTTCTTTGTAATCTTCAGGAATAATTTAGTTATTTGAAGGGGTATTCCAGGACGAACCTTTGAAAAAACAATTTCTTTTTTTTGCATTTTCTTAAAGAATATAATTTCAAAAATATATCTGCAGAACCTTATGCCTAAACTCCTAGAATTAACGAAGTTATGGCTATTTAAAGGCGTGATGGTCAACGTCATTGTTATAGGGATGCAAAACTGTAAAAGTCCATGATATCTCAAAATCTACTTGACCAATTGGCTTAAAATTTAAAATGCACATTCAGCACATGTATGACTATAGCCGGTATTAGAATTAACCCAAAATTTTTACTCTATCTTTCTTTAGGCTCCCGAAATTTAAAAAAGAACATAACAAGATTGATAATCTAACTTCAAAGTATTGCCATTTGTTTAATTATCGACGTTTTTCTTTTGTTCTAGTACCAGGTGTAACCAAACTCATACTAATTAAGAATCTTTCACGTTTTCTTATTTCAAACAAGCAGAATGACCGGAGTCATGGACATCGTGAGACGACCTTTTTCAAAAGCGACTATGTTTGAGAGTATACAGTGCCACCAATTTTAACTCTTTGTCGCTCAAAAAATTTTAAAATATCACTGAAATATGTAGAAATAAACCTTGTAAATTTAACTGCAAAAAATGCTATAGTTTATTCACAGAAAATTCTCCAAGAAAGTCTACAAAAATGCACTTTACACTAGAACACCCCCTTAAAAGGTATAGAAGTTAATTTTTCTTTGCAACAGATATTTAAAATGTTTTGCCATATTTTTCCATTAATGTTATTCTTTGTTAATATTTCGAAAACAAGGAAACATATGTAATAGAATAGATAGAGTTATTAAATGTGATTTAACTAAAAAATCGATTCCAATGCTGAATAAATAATTATGGAATTGAATTTTTCACAACTAATGTGTATAGTTTGGATTATGTATCTAATTGTAACACTTTCAAATATTCTTCAATTTATTTTCATCTTTCGTTATACGTTGTTTCGCTTCACATCCACTTACTTTATAATATTTATTTTCTATTTATTTGCATCCAAGAGGATTGAGAATCTTCAATCGAAAACGTTATACGAAATATATTAAATATTTTGTTCCACTCGGAAAGATTAAACAGCATTTTATCTTCGTAACAATTTTATTCGTGTTTCTGGATGTAATTTTCCTTGATTATTCTGTAACAAGTGGGATTTAATGTTTGGAGTATATAGTGATTATGCATGTTTCACTGATAATATAGTTTCGTTCGAATCATAAATTCGGTCTTAATTCGGCGAGCATTAATTACGATTCCCCGAGTTCCGTGTATAGAAACGCTCGAGTGAAAAATATTTCGCGCGCAAATTCGATTTTAATGTGTAAGCGATCATTATAACATATCGCACGTAACAACGTTACGGTTATTTAATAATAATAAGCACCATTCGAGTAGAGCTGTTAATGGTTTCATACAATTATTCTGAGTGCTCGTAGTGAAAAATTTTATTATCGCGCCATCAGGCGTCGGCGCTAGACACAAAATTGCCAATATCGGGATAATACTTCGACGCTGCCCTTTATCGATACAAAGTTAATATATAACACTTCAATCGTTTCGTAATTAATGACGACATTCCGTCGAAACACTTTCAACCACTTTGTACAGAAATCTTTTACACGCTATAAAATATTCTTTCTTACAAATTATTGATTTCGGATGCTGTCAAGATTATTACCACTTTATAAATTCCAACTATAACTGATTAACCGTACATTCTCAGTAATCGTATTGGTTCCATCGCATCCTTGACACACCAAACGCGATGAAAAACACATTTGGTGTTTCGAATCCTTCGGGGGTACAGCTCAACAAGTTTAATAAGAGCCTCAAGGCTCAAGGGTGAATAAGTAAGTGGCAGTGATGAGATCAGGCGATTAGACTATCACCTAGGTCCATAGTCTAGCTAACGAGTGTCGTCCAATACCATTTAAAACGCGTAAGACTATGGAAGGATGACAAGGATTACCCTCAAACCGAGCTATACAATTCTCTTTACGAGTTTGCTTAGAGTACGTTTCACTAAGTATTCGACTCAATTGTATAATACACCCTGTATCGTTAGAGTTCGTTTTACCTGGTAAAAGCGCCTTGCTCGTTGAGTCTGAGATCGCTGTCGCTATGGAGCAATTGGGATGCGTTTCCAGGTTGTCGATACAATCCAGGGATCGTTTGCGCCGTTGGATATTGTGCTTTTACCAAACCAACCTGCAAACAGACGCAACAAAATGATTGCAACGCGGTTACGTGTTTTTTTTTTTTGCAAGATTATGTATACCTTCTCTTCCCGCGGTGCCCACAACCAGGACAGCCTCTGTCGCCACTCCTCGCAGACGTTCCAAACGTTTCTAGTGCTCCATTGCCAGCCAATGCAATACCTGAGGCGACATTGCATACAAAGTATTATTACGTTACGCTTTTCCGTTAAACGCTCGCAGGCTTTCAGATGCTGCAAGCTGTTATGTTAGATGCTGCGGTCGATAATCATGTTTTCATAGAGAAACTTTCGGGACAACAGCCTGGGAATTAGATTACTGGGTCACTATGCTCGAATACTGAAAATATTGATATTTAATACGAGTAGGATTGCCGTTACATAAAATTTTTGTCGCGATAAAAATCGTCAACGATCGGAAATTATTTTCGTTTTCCTTTTTTTCTTTTTTCTGTATCCCGACACGACGGCGGAAAAGTGTTTGGTCACATGGATCGCTCGACCAATGGGAGACTAATAGCGTACTCGCAAGCACGCGGGAGTATGCTATTATTAAGTGAATAGAGACGTGCGCTCGTCAAAGAGGTCACAGGGAAAATCAATTTTAGTAAGCGCTGTATTAAAGGTAAAATAAAATTTCGCTCCATTCCCGGCTAACAGTCATTTTAACAGATCCCGCGAGAAGGAGGCACGTAACGCTTTCTGCCTCAACTTTTGTGTCCCATCGTCGAGCGATATTTATTTTATAGCCCTGTATTAGGTGGAAACGCTCGATAAAGACCGGTTATAAATTCTAATTCGCGTTATATACCCTTTAATGCAACGTCGATTCGACGTTCTACGTAGTGGCCTGCGTGGGCCTCCGGTTAACCGTCGTCGTAAATCGAATAGTCGTTAAACAAAAAAAAAATGCTGAACTACGGCAAAATGAAACGGCGACAATATCGTAAATCGTGATTACTTATAAAAGTATATCAATTTTAATAAGCATCAAATTTAACAATTTTCTCAAACCTTAAATACATATTTTATTTTATTATAGCTTTCTGTGGAAAATTGTTTCTATTACTTAGTACTTCAGTACTGGTGATAGAAATAAAACTTAAAAAATAAACAAAAAGAGAAATACTATGAACAAACCACGAAGAAACAGAACAAACGTATTAGAAATAACTCATTTGATTCTGAGAGTAAGTTGAACTCCATTTTAATGTAATGACGTAACAGCCTTGGACGAGCTACAAAAAAGAAAGATGGCAGAGGATGATGATAGACTGAGGGATGTAATAAAAGGAGGAGCTTGTTTTGTTTGAGTTTTGTAAAGGAAAAACCAAAGTGCTCTATATTGGACGCGCGATAAAGAAAACACTATTGGCTGAAGAAGATGAAGTGGTAGTCTCACCTCTGATTAAAACTTATGGGACTTTTATGTGGTCATAACAGTCATAACAGTGACTTATTTATAAGTGACTTTTACTAGGTTAGTAGAAAGTAATTTCCTTAATTGATTAATTTAAAATGTGTGTGAAATATTGTTATTCTTCAAGGCTTTAGTAACAACATCTACTTCTGAATCATTTTGTAAGATAAAATAGTCTTAAAGGGGCTATTATATTGTGACAGTATAATTGTATTTTCTTCTTCACTCTTTACTAGAACCATTACTACTAAAAAGATATAATTGCTAGATAATAGGCAAAGAGGTTTCCAGATACGTTTAATTTTTATTACAATATTTAGAAAAATGTTATTTATAGAAGATGTAAGAAACTGATTGCAGTAACCTCGGTCAACGATAACACAAAATTAATTCCAACGGTGCATGAATATCGTAAATAAAAACTTGAGGCAGATTTCAGTTTGCAATTTCACATTCTGTCGATGTTACGGTGGCTCGTGTTTCTCTTTGAAAGGTCAAGCTCGGCGTTGCGATATCGGGAATATCGACTCGCTATTACGATTGTTACGGTTTTTTAGATCCGAGCGTCGTTTCCGCGGAGGTTTAACGAATCTGACAACGACTATCGCTTCCAGGTATATTTTAATATTTCTCCGCGTGGGTCGGAATTGCTCGGAGAAATGTCTCGCGTCTCGCTTTACTCGAAGAAGAATAAACTCGCGTACAGAAAAGGGTAGATAAGACGTCTTTGATACAATTGGTGGCTGAATGACCCTTTAACCTGTTGCATGTGTAGCGTTTACCAGTCTTCAGGAGTATAGTGTTATGTAATGCGAGAAAATACCGGGATACAGAAGCTCGACTAAACGCCCACGACCAGAGGCGTTTTGTACCAATCGTCGTGTTTAATTTTGCAGCCATACGATTCATGAGCATCGTGTAAATACTTTCGTAATATGTTCAGAGTGACCGCAAAGTAAATGGTTTGTTTGCCAGTTCGTGGTCCTCGTGATTTTAAAACCGATTAATCGTAATAAATTTTCAATTTGAGTTAAAATACAGTGGGTGAACAAATTATTATGATCGCTTATGTTCACTTTAAACAACAAGGCAATCGAAGATTAAATGACCTTAAAATGAAAATCTACTGCACTGCTTTCAACAACGATTTAAATTTTTCTATACATTATTCAAAAATTGTTTAAGTGCAGCAGCATTCTTAATATAACTGAAAAGGAAGCGACTCTGCGTACCAAGGGAAGCTGAAAATACAGAATACAATTGATTTTACTTGTGTCAGTTTTTATAAATATAATTACATGTTTTTCACTGATCTCAAGACTCTCTAACTATGAATATTAAATAATATAAATTATTTATTTTTATCTGTGTTAATAATTTTTGACACTGTTCTCCCTTCATTGCCACATATGTATACAACAGGGTGTTCGGCCACTCCCGGAAAAAATTCTAATGGGAAATTCTGGAGGTCAAAATAAGACGAAAATCAAGGCTACTAATTTGTTGATTGAGGCTTCATTAGAAAGTTATGGAAACATTTCTGTCCACACAGTATATTTTCAGTAAAGAATTTTTTTCTCGATAGTGCGTAGGATTTTGGAGGTATGTGTATTGATAAAAAGTGATTGCAATTGACTCCTGTAACCAAAAATAATTTTTCCAAAACGGTTTAAAATTTTTTAATTTTGTCGCCAAATTGGTCCACCTACTCGAATTTTTTTCTCGAAAGTGCGTAGGATTTTTGAGGTATATGTATTCACTAAAAATAATTGCAATTGACCCCCGCAACCGAAAATAATTTTTGTAAAGCGATTCAAAATTTCTTTTTTTTGTCGAAAACTTTAGGCACCTATTCCCTGTCGATTTTTCTTAAAAATTTGTTTTTCATTTTTAATCAATTTGTTTGGCGCTGTACAGCAAAGTTGTCTAATACTTTTCTGGAGGTACTCATAAGCTCTATTTCAGAAAACAGTTTAATTGAAATATATTCACTATTGTAAAAGTTATCGACGTTTGAAGATTGGGCCATTTTTATGGGGGTTTTCTTACTTCACGGTGTTAAGGAACAACTTTTCGAATATTCTTGAAATTTCTAAATATTCTTCACTAAAATACGCGTTGTTTGCCTTTTGAAACATTAAGATCCTCCAATCCGTTCAGGAGTTATGACGTTTTAAACATAAACATGAAATTTCAGGGAAACTGTCAGAGATATGGTCAGACATGAAATTTTCGGTAATGAATTTTTTTCTCGAAAGTGCGTAGTATTACGGGGGTATGTCTACTCACCAAAAATGATTGTCATTGACCCCCGCAACCGAAAATAATTTTTCTGTGAATGATTTGAAATCTTTTTAATTTTTTAATAACTTTTTAACGAAGCCTCAATTAACAAATTGATATTCTTGATTTTCGTCTTATTTTGACCTGTGCAATCTCCTATTATAATTTTTTCTAGGAGTGGCCAAACACCCTGTATGAATTTAATTTCTCAAATTCTCGAGTAATTTTTTTTTTATAGACGAAAAGAATTTTTAGCATTTGCTTTGTTACAATGCTTCGGGCAGAAATTAGGGTCTATGATATTCTGTAATCCCGGAAGCCAAAGTATTTTACCGCCTCGACAGTGATTGTACTTCTGCGTAGCAGCGCTTAAAGTATCGAAGCTGGGAATCTATAATCTCCTGATCCGAGGATCACGAACATTTTTTCTGCGCCCTGACTCTACCGTATTAAAGGAAGTAAAGGACACGGAACATCCGGCCTTCTCAACTTTTTCGAATGATAGAAGATCAGATACTAACGATCTCTTCTTGATACCAAGTCGGTATATTTGATTGTACGGATGTTTTATCTTGCGATTTTTTTTTGTGCAACCCTTCCAGGAACTTTCTCTACATCCACGACAGTACCATCATAAATATTAAATATTTGAAAAATCTCTACCTCCTCTTGGAAAAATTAACGGTGTTCTAACTATCAAGCTAGAACAGTAGATAGATAGTCAGATACTTGTAACGTAAATGTTACCATCGCGAGTTCCTAATGCAAGCAACGTACCAGATACCCTCCATTGCTATACTTTGTCATCGCGATAACATGACGCAAACTGATTTTAGCGATAATTCTTCGCACGAACGATTTCTGTTAATTTTAATCTCCCATACTATTAGGTAAAAATAAAAAAAAAGAAAGATTCTATTTTTCCGGAAAAGGCTCGAGTTTAAAAGGCAAAAAAATGGCAGCGTTCCTCGCGAGCAACTCAGAGTTCGCGTTCATATTGAACCGCCATAATCGGTGTTCCAAACTCTCGAGGTCAACGCGATAGGGTTTAACGATTTCTGGGTCGTCGACCTCGCTTAGGAATTGTCACTATCGACTTCCCACGATTCAGACATTTGTGCAATTGCGTGTCGTAACATCTTCGTTCTTATCAATTCTCTTGATACGGCGTCATCGTTACACTGATACGAGCTTTAACTCGTCAGAGGTGTAGTGTCAGATTTATGAGATCGATACGGTCAGTTTATCCAGAAAATTAATTCTTCTTTCGTGCCAGGAAACTTTTACTCGAATATCAAACTTTTGTGTGATAAATTAATCGCATCGCAAGTCTAAGACAATGATAATAAACAGATGGTGGTAAGAACAATATAAATATGATTCCGTTTATAATACAATTCTCTTTCGACTCTTCGATTATATGTAGTCATAAAAATTTGAAGCAACCTTCGATCGTAAAAGTAAATAAATAGTTGCTTAAAAGTACGTATATAAATGTTTCATTGAAAAATATAATTACTGTTTGGATCAAAACATTTTATCGCTACAAATAGTTAGGAATCTCTTGAAAGAAACATTAATTAATTGATATAGATTCTTTACGAGTTTACAAAAAAGTATCGAAATTGGAACAACTAGATAATTAATCTCTAGAAGAGAGATATTCATAAAAATGACGACAATTTATATTTCGTGTTTCCTCGAATAGAAAGAAGTATTACACTTTTCGAGTTTTTCTGAAGAGTGTAATTACTATCTTACAGTATGCGTAAGTGGTGACCTTTTATCATGAAAGAGTAAATCTTAAATGAAATAAGTAGATATATGTGTGAAAAAACAAACATCGAAGATTGCTCACAACGCTTGACAGTGTATATTTGTAATTTCTTTAACAGAAACGAGAAGAACGAATTTCGTTTAGCACGTTTGTTACTAAACGCACCAAGTTTGCATCGAAAATAAGTGTTTTAACCAATAACTCGAGCCTTTGCCGATGAATAAAATACGTGTCCCTCAATGTTGTCTACTTGCAAATGCTTTAAGTTATATTCCTCGTTAAAACTATCGAAATTTCAAAGCGTTACAGGCATTGAAACGTTGAAAAATTTTGTTAACAATTGCTGAAAATAAGAATATCGTATGTAGATCACATTTTTAAATACGTTTCGAATAAACGGGAAGACATACGACGACTTTATAGTGTTATCGAGGAATAGGATAGTGTTCAGTGGTTGTTCAGTACACTGACGTACGGGATGGTTAAAATCGTGGTGCAATCACCTTCTGCACAGCGCCAGGGCGGCGCCAGCAATGACGACGATGATTAACGCCACTCCAAGACCGGTGAGTGTCCAACCCATCCTTCTTAATACCAAATCCAGGCCCAACCACAAATCCGATGAAACCGCCGAGCCTGAAACACACGAAGTAAATCCATGGAAAGCATGATCCGATTACAGTTACAGAACCAAGATTACCCGTGGATTAACGATCCTTACGGGTGCCCATAGTGTGCGTACATTCGATATGACGAGTAGGTTCGGGTCTCGACCTACGTACGTATGCACATCGATACACGTCTTCGAGGGTATAATTTTACACCCACCTTAGACAGAAACGAAATAGTTTGTTGCACACCTCGGTAGGGTAACACACTTTGTTAGGGTGAACGTAACAGTAATTGACAAGTTAGAGAAGATGCGAAATTAAGTTGGGATCAGAAACTTTTAATTTTTTTGACTGTTATATACCTTTTCAAAAATTCAGAAACGTGCACACTTTCAGGTAGAATATCCATGATTTTTTACTCGATATAATAAAACAAATGGAGCTTAAACTGTAAATTACGATTTACCAGCTACCCTAATAGTAGTAACTACTAAGTAATATAATATAAAATCTGCTAACCACTCTAAACAACAAGATCTGTATAATTCTACTTTGTCTGGAAAAGATAAAAATGATGCATCAATAATATCGATCGATTTAAAAACTAAAATTTAAATATCATTATACAAAACGTATAATGTAAATAGATAATTATATGTGATTGCTGATGAAAAGCATTTGATATTAAATACAGGTAAAACGAAATATTTCACAACTGGCACATAAAGTGTGCCCAGTATAGACTCTAGAACAAATCGTATAACGTTAAGAATATTTATACTTAGCAATATATGTGAACAACGAATACAGAAGCTTTCAAAGTTTGTACTAGTTTTTTTTTTTACCGAAGTTTGACATTTAGGGCAAATGTAAGTAATTGTATGTGGGGTAACATTGCCGCAGTACAGTTCGTGATACCACGTGTCGCACCGAACACACTGAATCATACCGCCTTACCATTTTTCATCGCAGACGGCGCAACACAAGCACTCGTACCTATTGCTTTCTCGTTTCCTCTTGCGTTCGACCTCCTCCTTCTCTGCGTTCATTTTTAAACAATTAAAATCTGAATTTATTAAACTTATGGTTTACAATTGCATTCTAAAAATTTTGAAAATAAAGTAATTGGTGAATCGAGTATCGACAGGCATTTTCTAGTAATAATAATAAGATTATTTAAAACATAAATGGAGAATGAGATGCTATTTAGAAAAGTATAATCATCGAGCAACACAAGCATTCGTACTTATTGCTTTCTCGTTTCCTCTTGCGTTCGACCTTCTCTTTCTCTGCATTATCATTTACAATTGCAATCAAGAAATTTTGAAAATAAAGTAACTGGTGAATCGAGTATCGACAGGCATTTTCCAGTAATAATAATAAGACTACTTAAAAAATAAATGAAGAATGAGATACTATTTAGAAATGTATAGTCATCGAGTAATCGATATCCCATTTAGGTTCACGTGACACAGTGTTCGATATTCCTGATAACATTAATCCAGAAAAGAATGAACTGTCTTTTTATCTAGTCATTGCAAAAGAAGATAAATAAAAAAACTTAATGCTTTATTATCAGTATGCTTTATTTCATAATGTCGAGACGAGGCAATATGGCCGCGAGGCTTACTGTCGAATATCTTTAACATGGCAGAGTTGCTATTTTCGTTCCCTTCACTCGTACGACACTTTAAGCGGATCTCATATTGAATATTTAAGTTAAATTCTCTTTATTGGCATCTTAACGATATCATCGTAATACTGAATCAAGTATTATAGTTAGCCTTCGTATTCACCCTTAATTTTTCAGTCTGTTCTTTTTCTGTTCTCGCAACACGTTGCACCTCCGGTGCTTGCAAGTATTCGCCGTTCGAAAAAAATAGATCGATGGCTTTTATAGTTTCATCTTCGCGAAGTGTTCTCGAGTTATCAGCGCCATTATCGCGAGAACTTTTTGGACGACGTAGCCGTTAACTGCTTCGTAAAATTTGTCGGAAGTGGTCGGTGGCCAGAAATGTCGATAGAAGTTAAGGGAGCGATAAAATCTTCCCGAAAAGTTTTTTGACGATTGACGCTATTGCGGCCCCGGGAGATGAAAGGATATTCACGATTCGTAAGAAACTTCGTGGCAAAATTCGAGCTCCCATTCGCGGCGGTTTCGTCTTTGGTTACGTCGCGAAGGGTCCATAATCTCGTCTTTCAACCTGGCTGCATCGCGCACACGCGTGTGTCCGCGTCTTCAACGTGTCTCGATGTGCGTATACGTGCACGTGTTTGGCTGAATATACCGCGTTGCGAATATATGCGTTATGTAGAGGCATGCATATGCATGGATGAATAAGTACATAGTTCGTAGACTAAAGAAGACTGGATAACCCTCAGACGACTGCCCTTAACGCCGCATGGGTAGTCTACCACGAACCAGAATACGTGCTTCGAACGCGATTCACTAGGAATATTTAGGGACTAGCAATTCTATCACTTCTCGACATGCACTATCTCACGTAAAAATGTTTCGATAAACTTATTCGTAGTTAATTGCAACACTAGATTTTTAGACTATTTTCTTTCGAAACAAGTATTTCATACAATTTTCTCCGTGACTCGTGATACATCCAAACGTAAATCAGCAGAGACACAATCCTTTAAAACTTGCCCTGTCCAGCCATCCCTGTTTCTGCTCCAAGAACTTTGCAAAGCTTAATCAGCGAAGAATGAAAACGGATGGAATTATTTAAGTTTCAATTCGCAAACAAGATGTTCTATGTATTCTTAAGGATTTGTAAAAATATCTCGTTCATTGAAAAGGTGTAATACTTGATGCAATATTTTTACGGTGGATGTCTTAATAATTAGTCATATAATGTTTTCATAGCATATAATTATTATGTAATCGTTGTAGTAGTTAACGTTACTTTTGTTTTAGGAGATCGAATCTCTTATTTGTCGAGATATCAGTCATTATTATCACAATTGTAAATGAAACCTTTGAGAAAAATACATTGTAAGTTAAAAAGCAAGCAATGCTGTTGCAGAACTTCCTCAATATTAATTTAGAGCACACCATGAGCTCTCAGAACAATATAATAAATATTATTTTTTCTCATAAGGGTAATACGTAGAGATGGTCAGAATTATACCTTAGTCTACGTATTATTGTGAAGCTTTATATTTCGAACACATTCGAAAACATTTTACTTCCTCTTGTAAGTTCCATTAATCAGTCACATATCTACTATGTAGAGATAAGAAGATGTTCCAATGATCGGTTACAGTATAATTTCCTTCTTATAGATTCAACTTCCCACAGTAGAAAATACTATAACAAATCAGATCTGGTAGAAAACATCTTATCTCTGCACATGATAGTTATGAAACGCTTTGTATATTTATTCACGATTTTCGCGGTTTCGACACGATTTGAATATTCGAGGGGTGGGCATCGATCGACGAATTAGTTTCTCGTTGTCACGTATATAGAAATTGTATACTTATGTCCGAAAAAGATGAGCAGAGTCGTCCGGTTGCTGCGACGCGTGGTAATGCTCCCCTCTTATCTCAGACGTTTTGACACAAAGTACATGTGGCTTAGCATAGTCATGCACTCAGCTCCTTTCAAAAAAAAAGGGGTGGCAGGTGGGGGACGGATGGAAGAAAGTGCACCCCAGCGTGTGTCTGAAAAAATAGGCCAAGCCAGCGGAGTCGGTGAACTTTGCTCAGATGCTTCGACGGGCATTCAACGAACAGCAGCAATCCGGATGGTTTTCCCTTCGAAGAAGCGATCCGCTTTTGAAGTGGAACAGATATATACACGTACATATGATTTAGCTCGAAAACCGCGCACAGACACCCGCACAAACGGTATTTATAAATACGATTTCTCGAAAAAGGTTTTTAGAATCCTTTCAACCCTTCAGTGTTCCTTTATAGTTTAAAGATGTTTTGACGCCGAATTTCTATTCGAATATCTATTATTTAAGACAATTATATTCTTGATTTGTCGATTCATCGACTCTGGAATCCTATATTGCAGTATGATATTCCCAATTATCTGCAATAAAGTGTATTTATGCTCTGTTAATAGAATGTAAAGTAAAAAATTGTTCGAGTAAATTTTATGTCAGAGTATACAGACTCTAAGTTATGTTAAGTAGATTATAAATGCGCTATCGAGGATTTAACTTGTCAGAATCGAATTAATTTTATAGGAGTTAAACGATGAAATATTATTCTGTTTGACGTCTTGCGAATGACGGGAGAGTTAATTAAAAAATTACGCGAAAAGAAGGATTGTATAAATTCTTAATAAATTAGCAGTAAGAAAGAAATCTGAAGGACACTAAAAAGAGAGAATTGTAGAAGTGCATATCGGATGACGTTAAAATGGGAATACACGGTTAAATAAAAGATCCGTCCATGAAGTCTTAGTTAAAAGGAACGAGAAACGAAAGGGAAGGGAATAACAGTCGTATTATGTTGAAAAAGAAGCACGGAAGAATGAGTGGTAATAGCGAAAGGAAAAGGTTTCTTCAGCGCTCCTCATTGTTCTTGCAGGTAGTACCGAGACGTTTCATTCGTGCAAACCATTTCGAGTATTATTATTCCATTTAAAAGATGGAACGTAGACGTGCGTCGCGGTTTAATTTTGTGGAAAACGAGTCTGCGAACAATCGTCGAGCGATGTCAGCTGCAGGATGCAAAGGATCATCGAGCATGGGTTTTAAATTGATGTTTTGGAACGTGCTACCATTTTTGGAAAATTGTGCGCGTATAAGAGCTATTGCAAAAATCGAGAGAAATTCGAATCTAAGCTGAAATTAATACGAAAATATATTATTCGTTTGCAGACATTTTTTAAATAATAAAAGTAATAATATGATTAACATAGTTGAATTTTTCTATGTGACATTAATCCTGTAAGTGTATTTATTTTTTTACTGTTATTTTAAAAACTTTATTTTAAATCATGTTAAATTCATTTAATATGGTCGAAGTATTTTTTAGGTTTCTGATAGGAAGGAATAA